TCGCTCAGCCAGTGAGCGGGAACCGGTCTGTATGTGGGATCCGAACCCTCGGCGGGAGCGCCGCCGCGCTTCCCAAGCGGTGCACTATAGCAGTGCGCCACCGGGCCGGCCCAGTACTGAGGTTTTTAATTACTCTTAATTCTCAAATGAGTGATGAAATACAGATATCAATTAAACTGAAGGCTTCTTCATTTACTTTTTTCCTTGCCTTTGAAATACTAAAAGCTGCCGTTCACAGCTCTGGTGTGAACACTTCCACTTACAGCACACACTTCGTCTGGAGTCCAGATAGGGCTACAGGGAAAATATTGTGCTGTTCTCACCTCTCTGTCCTCGAAGTAAATTTCCATGCATTGTGTGAGATGTTACCAGCCAAAGAACATTGTCCCAACAGCAGGTAAAAGAAAATAACATACATGTGCAGGTTGGAAAAATTCAAATAAATTCTTTACTAGTACATAAGGGAAACAAAGTGAGCCGGAAGGTTCTCTCTACTCCCCACCGCCACGAGTACGCACAATCACGATCAGTCTCTATTCGCTTTAGAATATTTCATTTAGAACACAAAAAAGTTCAATTAATCAAATTTTCCTAAGAAAAGCATACTACAGGCAAAGCCATGGGGGAAGAGTGGGGAAACCCAGATGGGCAAACTGTGAAACCCACAGCTGTGCTTTCACATCTCGAAATAAATCTGTCCCCAAGAGTGGAGGTTTCTGTTGTTCACATTTAAATATTGAATCATGTAAAACTCAATGACCTCTTCACTCTCAAAGTTAGAGTCCTTAATTAGGATACTTGAGTTACCTAATACTTACAAGATTTATGAGAAATTCCTTTGAATCCCTAGAGACTGAAGTTGTATTGGGAGGTAGATAAAAGGCAAAAAGAAATTGAATTAAGCCACAAGAAAAAATATTTATGAATGTTCTGAAGTCAATTAACTGACCATGTCCTATTCAACTTATGAGAGAAAATACAATATGGCTTTTTTAGAAATGGGATTTACTAAACAATTCAGCATTAACACTAGGTCATGTTTAAAATAAATTAATCCACATAAGAATAATTTGGCTCTAGGAACATCAGGAGTTTTGCTCAAAATGTAATACTAACAAACTATTAGGTTGGTAGAATTTTCAGAATCCAATTGTAAGTTTGTTTGCTCAATCTGGTGGCTTTCTAAGTAGTGACAGAAGTGACACTAGAAGAAACATACAAGGAACTATGACATAGCAGTACCTCCTTTTGAACTGATAGATCCTAAAGCTCATTTTATTTTACTTGCTTTTCATGGAAAATATCCAGAAAGTAAAAATTTTCCTTCTCCTGTTTTTTTTTTTTTTGTTTCTACTACAGAAATTACTTCTAATTTTTTACTTGCACATAATTCATGCATATGCAGTAACTTAATGTAAGCACATTTCAAAGCTGGTACTTGCTTTTCATGGAAAATATCCAGAAAGTAAAAATTTTCCTTCTCCTGTTTTTTTTTTTTTGTTTGTTTCTACTACAGAAATTACTTCTAATTTTTTACTTGCACATAATTCATGCATATGCAGTAACTTAATGTAAGCACATTTCAAAGCTGGTATAACCAATCTAAATTAGTATCATAAAGAAAGTTAAAGGGGCTGTTTCTCATCAAGTTGCACCCAACGATGACTGAGGACTCATTTTAACAACTTGTCAGAAAGGGACTAAGCGGGAAATAGGCATCACACTCAACTTCAGGTTTAATGGCCAAAATGAAGTTACCGGCTCTGACACCCAACTTCCCTACAACTTTCATTATAGTCAAGGTCAGTCAAGGTTTGGGGCGGGATGACTATGCTCCCAGAACTAAAACTCGAGATCCAATTTCTCACTTGCCTCAATTTGCAGCATCCAGACTTCTTATCCAAGAACCCGATGCTTCTAAGCTGTAACATTTTATCTACATTGCGTATTTGAGTTGACTGCTAGAAATTGAGGGCCAGATTTGTAGCCCACTTTTAACTTGTATTTTGGATACAAAGTTCATTCCTGGTTTAATGTTTTCTTTTTCATTTCCTCTTTTCTCAGATCTTCTTCCTCTAATTTTATGGTGGTGTATTGTGTCTCTGCAAGCTCTCTTAAAAACTTCCCAGGACAAGGAAGTGTATAAACAAACTTTAGATAAATTATACTATAATCAGGCTAAATTAAAGTGAATCATGCTTACTATATATCACAGGCTGATACAGGTCAAAGATAGCAAAGATTTTAAAAATGGCAGAAATTTTAGCAAATTAATATTTTTCCTAGGGCAATATTCAATTTACAAGAATCTGAATTTCAGGAGTTAAAAATAAAAGATGAGATCAAATAGCATCAAATGAATGTTTTCCAGAAGCTCTGGAACTTCCAAAAAGGTTCATTATAAAAATTGAATCATTCAGGTTAAAAAAAGAAGTCTGACTGGAACGGTGCTTGGTGGTGGTTCATTACAGCATACAGGACAACCAGAGGTGGAGTCTTTATTTCACAAGTTTCAAGATACAGTACAAAACGAATCTGTACATCTCTCTATTAACAGGATTTGTTTGTTTACACAATTATATTACACTTCACCAGCCTTCATACTGCATTTCATTAAATACAAAATAAATTTACAAAGAAAAAAAAAGTCTACCATGGTGTCCTTCACAGTGCCAGCTTAAGGTCTTTTTAAGCTTCTTTTCCCAAATATTTATAGTGGTTACACTTTGATCATATCAACATTGTAAGTTGTTTTTTTTTTTTTTTTTTAAATCAAAGAGAATAGTGTTAGTCTGTTTGTCAATCCAAATAAGACAAACAGTACATGTGAGATGGTGCCCTGCACACTACCAAGGAATCCTTCTCACGCACACAAAATCAAATTTTTAATTGTACAAATAGTCACTATAAAATACAAATCATTTTTACTTAGAATCGTTTTAATTTCCTTGAAATACTAAGTGGATGGAGAAATTTAGCTTCTTTTCAATGAATACTACACATTTAAAAATCAGGTAGTGTCTCAGACAATATGACATTCAGAAATTTTGTTATCTTCACTTATATTTTAGAGCAATGACTGATGAAAAGTATTTGCATGAAAATAGTTTTTTTCTGCTCTGATTTACTGCATACTTCCAGTCATATATATATAGTAATATAATATGTGACATATATTAGATTCACTTTTAAAACAAATACCATCTGTCATTGGAGCAAATATATTCCTGCTCTTCTTGGCAGGTAAAGGGACTGTCTACCTGAAGCATATTATTTTCAAATGTGTATGTGAAATGTTAGTCCAAACCTCTGTAAAGGAAGTTTTTGCATATGTAGTTAGACATTAAGACACATGCTACACACATGGAGAATGATGGTTTTCATTTGTAGGCATGCATGCATACTTCCAAAACATTGGTTTGAAGAACAAACATGAAGAGCAAAGAAGGGAGTGAGAAAGCCAAAAAAAAAAAAAATCTTATATGTAAAATACTTTAGTTTCCTGGAGGCATCAGCAACTCCTTAATTAAATAAATTATCAAATCATCATCAGATCACTGGTGGAAAGTTTCTAAAACTTCCCAGTGGTACAGAGATAAAACAGCATAGTGGTAAAACTCTCAAAAATTAACCTTATATGCAGAAGGGTAACAAATCCTTAAGAGCGTCAAGATTAATGATTCATAAGTTAATCTTAGTTAAGTGCTAAATAATGAATTTTTAAAAAAGAAGGCTTTGATTTACTTTAACTGTGCCATTGACTATTAATCAAAAATAAGCCTTATCCAGAAAACAGAAAAACTTTAAACATAAAAAGAAAAAAAAATAACCCACCAATGCTACCTTTGTAAAATAAAATAGAAGCGAAATGGATAGTCTCAAGACTCTGAAACAGCTGGCTAACCAATAAACCAAATGCACAAGTGAATATAAGCTAAATAGAGTACCACTGTCGTCACTTTTGAAGGCAAGAAGACAGACTATAAAAGGTATCAGGAGAGATGGGCTACCATGGAGAAATGAAGCCACACTCTGTTAAGTCTAAATTCTAACATTAAAACTCCTGAATCCTGGAGTTAGTGTAATGTCACTGACATTAACTAGCTTTAGTTATTGTCACTTTATTCAAATGGATGCCATTTGATTAGGTTAATATTGAGTATTATTTTGGGAGAAAAACCAAACCCAATTCCTATTTGCTTAGGTACCATGTCCCATGAACAAAAAAGAAAAAGGAAGCAAAATATTTTGAGGCCGTCTTTAAATGAAGCCATAAGAACTAAGTTACTTTATATTTACCATCCAAATTTCTGGTAGCAAATGACCCAGGGCAAAACAGGAGGTAAGAACAAGACAAGAAAAGGATATCTAGAATACTAACAGTAATAATAATAAAAATCACATGGCACGAGGTAAACTAACAGGAAGTTTGTTATTACATGAAGAACAAGACTCCACTTTCCCATCCAGTCTTAAGAAATATTTTCTGAAAGTACTAAAGGAAGGAAGTAAAGATATATAAAAATGCTGCTAAAGGAGAAATTGTGTGGATGGCAGAGGAAAGAAATGGAAGGTGATAGATAGTCATCTTAGAGAGTTTTCAGCTTTCAAATAAATTAAACCAGTTCCTTCTAAATGAAGTTTGGCTGCTACAATGGATTATACTTATTTCGAAGGGGAGAGAAGCAGCAGTGATGAAGACACTGACATACTTTCCAACTGTATTCAAATCTCTAAGTGTAAGAGACCAAACAAGTAATATTCACAAGAGCTGCCCAAAGCGACACTACACTTATGAGGGTAAAATTTCCTACCTTTCAGAGATATACTTTAATACATATGATTCTCTCTGTCACCACCTCTTCAAATTTGGAAGCAATTATCTGGGGGAAAGTTTGCTCACCAGGTTTCCCATAATACTCTGAACACACAAAAAGTATACAACTTCACATTTAAAACCTTCATTAAACCTAGTTCAAAATAAATCCTTAACTTCAAAAACCAAAGCATTACAACTCTACAAGTAATAAACTCTTCAAGTTTTCTGGCAGATGAGGGATTATGGGAAAAAAGTATAAATGTTAATACAAACAGTCTAATGTCAGCAGGCATAGAAAGCCTGCTTAGATATTAAAGCAGCATCAGACTAGATATTGGCTGGTGAACACTACCGTTTGACAGTAAAAAGAACTATGAATTCAGTTTAATTCTTTCATTTGTATGATTATGTGAAGTTCTGTTTTCTTTTTTGTTGTTTTTCTCCTCACTATTTAATCAGACAATTCTGAATTGTAGTAGCCTTGATTTTCCTGATGTTAATAGTGGGAGGATGGTGAACATGTAGCTAAACAAGTGGCTGAGTTTCTCCTGTAACATAAAACTGTCAGAGATCAGAAGCTATCTGAACAGTACAGAATGGTATGGCTTTGACTTTCATCAACCACTGAGTTTATTCCATCTTTGATTCTCTGAGTTTTAGTATTATAATGGTAGTCACGGTATGTCATTTCCTGACAACAATATTTCATATTTAAAGAATTCAGGAGGGTGATCTGGTCTTTGTGCAATAAGAAATACAAAGTAAAATAAATCCTGGAAACAAATGCTTCAACTTTTGGGAAAGTGTATCTATGATCTTGGTTCCCCATCCAGAGTTCTTTAATATTGTTTTTTAATTTCTTCCATTTAGTCCATCCTCTGGCTTCCGGATCAAGGCTCTCTATACTCAAAGCAAACAAGCAAATTATACTGAGTAGGTGGGGTAAATTCAAATGTTAGTGCAAGGAGTCAGTTCACAAAGTTTTATATATATATTCCATTCCAAAGAAGTGAAGTTCACAAAAAACTCTAACAAGGCCTGTCAGTCTTTGAAGGAGAGATGTATGGTATAAAGTGTGACAATGACCAATAATAAGAAACCTCCCAAACTTTCCTTTCAAAATAATGAATATGCTCAACATGTATAGTTGCATGTGGACTGGTAAAAGTTTTTCAGTTTTTGTAGCTCCAAAACACTTCGAAATCATCTTTTCTCTTTTTTTCTTTCTTTTTTTTTTTTTAAACTTAAAAGGCAAGTTCTATTTTGAGACTTTCAAACATGTTTAAAGTTAAACTTGCAACTAACTGGGTTTTCCTTCTTACAAGGATTAGTTTTTAGTGTTGATGCATAAGATCTTAAAGATGGTTAATATAAGAACTTATGCATATTGAGAGAATAACCAGCAGGACCCAAGAAAGAAAGCTGAATACAGTAGACATTACTTTGAGTGCCTCACATAAGTTTCCAGAAAGAAAAAAAAAAGAAAAAGAAAAAAAAGAAAGGAGAGCCACTGAGAGTTGTTATTCCATATGGCACTGAAACAAACATTCAATTTAGTTTAGGTAAGAGTTACTTATCCCTGAAAATAAAGGCATCAGATTCTAAGCAGCTTTAGTAATTCGATGCTTCCTTGTGCCTCTTCCAGGAGGTGGCCACTGATCCAAAGTCCTAAATCAAATGCAAGTGTTCTCAGCAAACAACTTCCTTAGTTGTCACTGATCAAAGCTGGACACAGTGGCTGTTATTGTGGTGGCTGCTGCTCTGGTGGTCCCTCCTGCTGGGGTGGAGCTGGCCGAGGCCCTAAGGGCCTGGGTACTGGCATGTCTTGGTGTTGCCTCTGCCTGTAGGCTATAACTGTTCCTAACAGCAATGCAATGATGGTCATGAGGTAAAGGTCCCACTCAGGTCCCAAAAGCTGGTCCATATCAAGTTGGGTGAACATATCTCGAACCTTAAGAAAAACAATATAAAAATCATTATCATCACTAAAATGTTAGGGAAGGAACTGGGAAAGTACATCACAAATTAAAGATAAATACAGAACCTAAAATAACTGGTTTTAGGAACACTGTACAATGCAATTGTTTTTTTAAAGGTTTTAAAAACCTTCAGATGAAGCGCAAAATAATGTCTCAGGAATTGAGCTATTACTTTGTAACAGTTGATTATATAAAATGTCTAACAGAGTTCTTTCCATCAGTAATCTAATACATTAATTTCCAACCATTTCTTTGAAAAGAAACACTGGGTCAACGGAGTGCCAAGGGGGAGAAACAGTGTCTTGGCACCTGCAATATATTTGTAGTGATGGCAGACCAGCTGAACAGCTCTGTTCTCAAGTAACTGAAGATTACAGGAATTCGAACATTTAACAGCTGAATGAATGCACTTTAGTTACGATTTAAGTAAAATGGAAAATATTTAATAACTGAATTTGAACTTAAAAGTTATGCTCTTAGTCTATGATATTTTCCTTTAGTGTCAGTTAAGTTATTCCTGATACCTTCTGACTGCTAATTACCCATAAAGAAAGTACATATGGGGTATAATCCTTTGTTTAAATAAAATTACATTTAAAAGGTATCCATAATACATATTTGTAGGAACAGGTGCTAAATTTTTCAGGAAAAAAAATTACAAGAAACTACTGAGTTCCCTGGAGAGGAACCTGGGATGGAAGATCTTGTGCTTTTCTGTACTGTTTGACTTTCTTGACATTAATACTTATTACTCTTGTGATCTTTTTTCTTTTTTTTTTCTAAAGTTGGAATCTGTGGGTGGTAGGATTATGGGACATTTTATTGTCTTCTTTCTACCTCTGTATTGAAAAAATAGGAAAGATATAATATGCTCAGTATGGTGCACTGCAAGATCAAATCCTAGACTGAAACCAACAGTTTATTAGTGATGAAAATTGTGGGAGACAAGGGTCTGAAATAGTCCTGAGAGAAACAGTAGGTTGCCACACTATTAGGCTTTTCATTAAAGGAACACACATCACTTCAGCTGGCAAAAGGTACAGCACACCCTGGCTCATGCTACCAAGCAATTATAGCAATTGACATTATACATATATAGGCAACCAGGAGGACAGAGTCCAACATGCTCAGTGCTCTGGAGCCCTGAATGGGGAGGACCTCAGTAACACCAGCTAAGGCGGCAAAAGAAAGAAGTGCATTTCTCTGTATTGATGCTGGAGCAGCACGGACTACATTCATGTCTGTGTAACATATGAGGAAAAGCCCATTCTTGAATCTAATGCTGAAATAGTATACCCACCTGTTCTGAAAGAAATTAACAACAGGTATAAACATCACCCTTTTCTGTTCCTGAATGAACTAAAGTTAAATAGCCCTTGTACCTAACAAGGGCTCTGAACATTTTAGGGCTTTCAGAGTTAAGTGCTGCACCAGTTAATCTGTTATTAGGAATTACAAATACTGAAAACATAACGTAAAACTGGCAGAACCCAAGAGCACCTACAAAGTACTGTTAACTAAAGTTGGTAGGTTTGAAGAGGATGGGTAACCCATCTCCTATCTAGGTTCTACCGCTAGCCTACTTATATGACTCAAGTTATTTTTAGAGAAAAAAATTCTGGCGGCATTTTTAACGTGTTTCACTATTAGAAGAATCTGAAGTACAACAGCCTGGCCACCGTATCAGGTTCTTCTTCTTTTTTTTTTTTTCCTTCTCTCTTTTTAAGGGACTGGTTTGAGTCACTGCCAGGCAGTCATCTGATTTAATGTTTACTGAATTTAGTTAAAATTGCCATGAGTTAGTCTCAGTTTTCCCTGAACCAGAAAACATCTGCATCAGTGAAAAATCCTTTAGCATTAGGAACCACTGTCAAATGCGACCTAAAAACTGCATTAAATGACCCCTCACCTGATGAGGTCCTTTGGTACTTCACCTGGGGGGAAGAAGGGAAGGGACCTGACACTTGCAGGACACTCGTCCCTAAGCCCCTCAACTTTTTAAATACAAACCTCAAGGACTGAGAAGGTTATATCATTTGTATTTTAATTAAAAGAGGCATGAACCACTTACATTTGTTTCCCGTATGTACTGCAAGAAATAGACAACACCCAGTTTGCAGAGTGCTAGGAAGACTGGTACTTGTGCATCTGGGCTGGCTTCAGCTGCCATGTCATAAAAACGTTTTGCAAGGTGAATATCCTGTAACACAGGTAATAAACCAAAATTCATTGCTTGTCAAAATAAGTAAAAATATTTATTTATTTTATATATTAGGAAAATTTATTTTACCTTTCAAATTTTCATTTTAAAGTGAATTTCCCTCACCTAAAGAAAAAAAACCCCAAGGTTTACTTGGGTAAAATTTCTTTAACTAGGGCCTTTATTTTATATATTAGGAAAATTTATTTTACCTTTCAAATTTTCATTTTAAAGTGAATTTCTCTCACCTAAAGAAAAAAAACCCCAAGGTTTACTTGGGTAAAATTTCTTTAACTAGGGCTGAGCCCGTGGTGCACTCAGGAGAGTGCGGTGCTGGGAGCGCAGCAGCGCTCCTGCTGCGGGTTCGGATCCTATATAGGGATGGCCGGTGCGCTCATGGCTGAGCGTGGTGTGGCCGGTCTCAAAAAGGACAAAATAAAAAAAAAAAAATTTCTTTAATTAACTAGCTGCTTCATTCTGAAAAATTTAATTAAAAATTAGAAAACTTAACTAATTTCCCCCAATTTAACATCCCATTTGCTGTGCAGATATGCTGGATACAGCCATCTATATACACATAACACTGTTAACCTGGAGATTTCCAAGGGCAACCTCTAAGTTTCAGCTAATTTTTTCTTACTTAAAACTTCAGCCAGTGTAAGCAATTTCTGGTTTCAGTTTGAAGTAGTGATCTTCCGACTGGGGTAGACATGCTCAAGATTTTTCCAAGAGGTACTTGCATGCACAATTCAAGGGACTCTATCTGCTGTTTCCCAACTTCCATATGTGCTTTTTCCTACAAGGGATCTGTCTGAGAAGACGCCTATGAGAACAGCAACTTTCTCCCCTTTACAAAAGAAAGGCACCCCCTCACTGTCCCACCCCTTCTTCAGGTGTATTGCCTTGGGGTGTAAAATTCCAAGGGTCACCACATAAAAACACACATTGAAATAATGGTTTTAGAGAAGGTATTATTGACTAATTATAAACCCGTAAGAGGGCATTTTCTGTTTCACTCTTAGACATATTTCTTACAAAGGGTCAAACAAGTCATTATTAATTTTGGCCCAGGTTGGAGTCTTTTAAATTCAGATATATGTTAGAATAGGATGGTGGGAGTTGTGACGATTAAAACCTCACTACTTCCATGCCCTGACTATTGTCAAAGAATACCAAACTCTTAGGAAAGAATTCCAGGAGACATGGGAAAAAAGGCTAAACCCCCAAACTGACTTTTTCCCCTACATATTTAAATATAAGCAGTTACTTTTAGTTGCTCCTTATACTTGACCCTAAGCTGTGTCACTAGTTAAAAAGAAGAGCACCTTCAAATAATAGTAACAATATGGCTAGTGTTTATAACTCATACTTTTCAAGATCATGGATCAAACTTTATGTGATAACACAGACTCTGGGTAATTAAACAGATTCAATAGGATAGTTAAAAATTATCATATCCTGAGCTATTTTTTCCAGTTATACCCAATTCTCATCTTATTTAATACTTAATATTTTTATAGCTATACTAAGTAATGGATTAATTTTTAGCAGTATGAATGTCTCTTTCATTTAAAAAAACAAGAAAAAAAAAAGAAAAGATCATCATGTCTTATAAAAACTAATGGAGTTATTCTGATTTTTATACATGATTATTTAATTATTCTCAAAAGCTGAACATGAGTTCCCTCCCCCCACTCTTATCAAAGGACTACTATGCCTTTTATCGTATTTTTTATTCTCAAAGAATTTTTAATATTAGCTATACATTATATTACATTACAAATTATAAGACAAGTACATTAATTTTCTTGTTTTATAACCTACATAGAAACAGATTTACTAGAGCTACATCATTTTAATCTTGACAGCTTTCAGTAAATTATTACTAGATTTATCCCATAAATTCCAGAACTTATATGTGATGTTTATATTACTATCAAACACACTGAACTTCATTTAAATTATAAAATGAAGTCAACCTTCACAATGAAGAAGCTTCAATAACTATGTTACATAGCAAATCTTCCAGAAATTGAATGCACTGAGTCTGATGCTCCAGTTTGATAAAACTATATTTAAGTACCTAATACTAATAATCAGTATTCTACATATAAAGATAAGTTTAAATATAAAATTTACATATTAAAATTAAAATTAAATTAATATCTAAATGTGACCACAGAAGCATTTTGTCAAAATATAGTGCACAGGCACATTAAAAGATGTACTTTCAATAAGGAACACAAAAAGTATAACTTTATCAAAATTTAAAATAAATTTATATGCTTAAGATAAGTATGATAGAGTAATCAGTAAAAGACCTAAGCATTAAATACATATATTAGCTTAGGTGGTTAGAGCTCAGTGTTGATAACACCAAGGTCCAGGGTTTCAATCCCTGTACTTTCCGCCCACCCAAAAAGAAAACAAATATTACATTAGTATATAACTCAATGGAAGTAGTGGCTGCAAATATAAGTTTAAGGAGAAAAGAAAAAGATACAAATTTTCAATTAAAGAACTTGTTTATATACTTTTAAAAAACTGATAACGGTGGAATAATTTTGGTGTTTATGTTCTATTAGATATTTTAATTTTGAAATAATTTAAAAACAACAGTGTTTGGCTGAAGATGGACAGTTTCTCAAACAAGAAGTTATTGATAGAGGCAGCACTGAATTTCTGTTTTCATGAATCTGTCTTCAGCTTAATATCCTAAATATAACAGTGTTGATATTAACATGTGTGTGGGGAAGATGAGAAAGATGCAAGGGCAGTTTTTTGAAATATTAGAAATCATGGGCTGGCTGATTATCGCAGCTGGCTAGAGTGTGGTGCTGGTTAACACCAAGGTCCAGGGTTCGATCCTCCTATCAGTCAGCAGCCAAAAAAAAAAAAAGTCATTTCATAAGTTAGTCACCTAAAATGTGGCACACTCACCTGTTTAATCCCCAGTCCTTTCTCATGCATATATCCCAGATTAAACATAGCTTGTGCACTGTGTTGTTGCTCAGATGCCAGACGATAATGAATAAATGCAGTCTCATAATCTACATCAGTGCCAAATCCATAGAAATGGTAGTCGCCAAGCTTAATTCTAGCCACAGTATAGCCTTAAACAAAAGTTAAATGCAAAACTGTCAATAAATAGTGTTTAAAACAGACCAGTTATTCTTCCTCCTGTTAACATGCTTATGTGAAACAAAGAGTTTTAATTTGTACACAAACTGTAATAAATCCTTTAGCCAAAGTATAAAGTCAGTAAAGATTTAAACTAGAGGTGTAGCTCTTCTGCAGAATGCTTTGTAACAGTCTGGGAGAAGTAAAACATTATGGGTAGTACTCCCTATTTCACTAACACTCTTCAAATGATCATGCTCTATTTTATTATGTTATTTACATTTTAAAAAATAGTTCAGCTTTATCACTGTTTAGGCTTAGAGAAGAGTTAGGCAGACAACGTTGAGAGGACTATGTGTGAGAAAAAATCATTCAAAAGAAAAATATGGGGAAAAGTTGGAATCTTTTGAGCTGATATTCTATTATTTTCTATTTGATTCTCATTTTACACAACATACTGGCCTCAAAATGGAAACCAGAGTGAACCATAGCATGACAGAAATGTCCAGTACAAAGTCTTTGCAATTTAATTTAGAAACCCTGGCATTTTAACCACCATTTTAGGAATAAAAAATTATACCAACCATAATACAAATAAGTTAAACAACAGTATCTCTGCTTAATTTTAAGGTGATGAATGACATGATTTAATGTTCATGGGAGATAAAAAACAATATAGAGAGGTCCCTGGGTGAAACTCTTATCCTAGAATTCACAACTCACCTTGAGAGGCAGCCCTGTTCCAGTGTAGCAAAGCTCTGGGATAAGTTTCATTCTCACCTACAATGGTTGCTTCTCCTACAGGAAAAGAAATGAAATACAAAATCAGGCATTTAAGGAAAGGCACTAGACTTTCAGGTTTCATTTGCAAACTAGGGTGGATATGTGGAGCATAATTTAAACAAGAATTAGATATAACAAGTATTAAACAAGTATTGGAATAAAATACTGAGCTCAAAGGAATCACTGGATTCAGGATGGCACTTCCTAAAACATGTTCTATCCACAGTACCAATAAAAACACTAACTACTGAGACACTTCTAGGGATCTACACGGCGTTGGAAAATGGTGTTTTTGTATCCACCATTTTTTGGAAAATATACTTACTGAAAGCAGTTAATTTAAGATGAATGTCAAATCCATTTTTATTGTCAACTCAATAATTATAAAACTAACTTTGATGGCTTAGTGATCTGAGGTAAAATAACTTAAGCATATTTGTTAAGTTCTATCCACAACAATAAAGAACGTTTCTTGGTGGCTTTTCTTTTTAAGCAGGTTAACCTGATGTGAACTCTCGTACGGCAAACCTAAGGCAGGACTAACATGAACCTTACTCTGATCGAGAATGAAGGCTGCGTTGCTTTGTGCCACTTCATAGCCTTGCTCGGCCAGCAGGAGGTACTGGATCACTGCGGCATTGTAGTCGCCGTCTTTATAGCTGTTATAGGCAGTCATAAGCCTCTCAGACCAACGGCCTCGTTCACACACATTCTTAAACAACTGTGAGAAGTGGAAAGGAAAAAAAATCAGTACGAAAATAAGAAAGATATGCCAGAAAATAACTTTTTCACTCTGGCTACATGTGATTGTTCAGCTTGCTCTCAATCTCTGGAAGCTTGCTTTCCCTTACCCTTTGGAAGTCAACAGATTTATGAAAACAGTAGCAAACATTTACTCTGGGAAGGCACTGTTCTAATGATTTATGTATATTATAGATATTAATATACTTAATCCTTTCAAGAGGTTCATGAGGGGTCCACCCTATAAGTTAAGTCCTATTAATATCCCCATTTTACACGTGAGGAAAATAAAGCAAAGAGAGATTTAGAAACTTTGCTACACATTTATCAATATTGTTCTAAAGTGCCAGGTATGAGAAAGCTAAACAGGAAAATGTCCAATTAGGAGCAATCAGCATTTCCCTTTGGAACATTCATTTAACATACACTTTTTTGATGCTATGTATCAGATACTGTCCTAGGTGCTAGAGATAATGCAGACACCAATATCTGCCTCTATAAATGTTGATTCTATTAGGGAGAGCAATAGTTATTTACAGACCCTTACAGTCTTCCCTCAAGTATATATCTATGCTAGTAGGCAAAGTCTATTTTTACTGTAGAAGAAATTATGCAAAGAAAATCAGAATTAAAAGGGCAGACCTTCCTACAGGGCAAATCAATTTCCTATGTACAAGTTAGTAAAAATTAAGAACTTACCTCCACGGCAGTGTGACATGATCGCATCACACCTGTGCCACTAGCATGCATCTGTGCTAAGTTATAGAAAGCCAAGATATGGCCTCCCTGAGAAGCTAAATTAAAATACTTCAAGGCCTGTTTATAATCTCTCTTGACTCCAATGCCGTCTGTAAGAAGGAAAAAAAAAAATCACATGAAAGGTCAGTAATAGCTTTAAATAAGATATAGTTAATATCAGAGAAGCCTTTAAACATGAGGAGGAAAACTCTAATGAAAGTTGGGATTCTTACTCAGTAAATATGTGAATCTGATTAATATAGATTAATACATTAATATAATTTACATATTAAAATGAAAAACAAGATGCATAGATCACTGAATTGGGAGAACATTAATCCGCTAGAATCATTTCCATATCATAGTGCCATCTAGTGGAAAATAGGTTAATTTAGATCTTGCTATAATGCATCATTAATTCCAATGTTACTTACTATAGTACATAGACCCAAGTTGCAGTTGCCCGTCCACCCAGCCTTGTTCAGCAGCTTTCTGGAAATACTTCAGTGCCAGATCATAATTCTATAGAAAAATATGATAAAATGAGAAAGCTCAAAAGGCTGATATATTCAGAAGTTAGAAGATGCATTCATTAAAAGGAATGAACAAAGCACACAAAAGGTATTCTTAAAGATCCATTAAAAGGACTACTTTCTGATTTGACAGATGGTAATATACTTTAAGTCATAGGAGGATTAATAGTTAAGACTGTGAAGAAAAACAAATAGTTTTGTGAAACAATTTGTGTTTGCTCTCAGAAAGCATAAACTCTAGTAGAACACCAGATGAGGAAGTAAGAAACAGTCTTTTCTACTAACCAACTAATCCTTTTCAGACCTCAGCTTTTTAATATTAAATAAGAAAAATTATTCTCTTTATTTGCTCCTTCCCTGTGTACCTTATCAAATATTATATGATCATAAGATGTCAGAGGTCATATGCATCCAGAGGAAAATTAAAATAAAGATTACTACTGAATTTTAGTATACTACAATGGCTAGATGGAATCAAAATGAGATCTTTTCTGTTAGGGAATACCTATACATTAGGCTCTTAAAACTAGCTCTAGTTTTGGGCTTAAATTAAAAGAACATATTGTTTGGAGAGACCATATAGAGAAGAAAACAGCAATGAGAATCCAGGGACATCTGACATGAGAAGGTAACACAGAAGAGTGAGATGCAACGGCCAAGGAACACCAAGAGAGCTTGCAGATACAGAATTCCAGGGAAAAGAGTTCAAGTGGGGCAGTACCCCAAAATGTCAACTGGACTGACATTCAGGAGGTATTTGGTGACCTGAATAGAGAGAGCAGTTACACGAGGCAGGGGCCTGACTGCTAAGAACTAACGAGTAAATGGTGGCAGTAAAGTTCATTCTTTGAAGAAACTCGGCTTTGCAGTGAAGGGCTGGAAAGAAGACAGGTGGTAGCTACAAGGGGGACAGGGTAGAGCAAAAGTTTCCCCCTCCTAAATGGCAGAAACTCAGTATTTTCCTAGGCTTGAGTAAAGATGTAGGCAAGGGAGATGTTTAAGTCTTGGAGAAATGGAAAAAGTAGGAAGGGTAGATATCATAGATGAAAGAATGAGAAACAGCTTCACGCCTTCAGCAGAAGGTACCTGACATGAAGCCACCCTAAGAAGACAGTTGAGATGGGGGGTGTGTGTGTGTGTGAGGTGCAGGGTGGCAGTGAGCCAAACCCAGGGACAATAGGAAAAGATTTAGCTTTGGTTACAATGAAACAGCTTCACCTGGACTGACTGAAAGCTAGTTTAAGAATATTTCCCTACCTCACCAACTGACAGTTTATTAAAGTCAATGTTAGATTGAACACTTACAACTTGAACTCCTCTCCCATAGAGGTAAGCCATTCCAAGCCCACTCTGTCCAACTGGGTTGCCCTGCAAACCAGAGCAGTCAGACAAGAATGGAAAGGATTCATTAAAAAATAGGCAAGAATAAATGACTACAAACTAAATTGTTTACAAGCATATTTGAAACATGTCTTAGTACTTTTCAATTCAAAACAAAACTTTCTCCTTCCTATCAGACTAAACATAATACTGACTTTTAGAAATTTGGGAACTTTTGATAATTTGCTGAGAAAGAATAAATAATAAATTTACTGAGAATTAAATTTTGGTGACTTATCTTATGAATAATTGTACCACGAATTTATGATATAAAACATGATTAATGTATTTCATCAAAATTAAAAGCAGTTCACATCTTTTGGGTAGTTTTTCATTGGTAACCTTCTACCCCAATAAAGAAGGAAGATGTCACAAGGCAGCGTCAACAATCACCTAATAACAGCAATACTGCTCTCAGGTGGCGAAGACATACAGTCATCCCTCGGTATTCATATGGGATTAGTTCCAGGACCTCCCTCGTATACCAAACTCTGAGGATTCTTAAGTTCCTGATATAAAATGGTGTAGTATTTGAACATAACCTATGTAAATCCTCCTGTATACTTTAAATCATCTCTAGATTACTTATAATACCAAATACAATGTAAATGCTATGTAAATAGTTGTTACACTGAATTGTTTAGGGAATAATGACAAAAAACATCTGTATATGTTCAGTCCAAGTGCCTTTTTTTTTTCCTGAACATTTTGGATCTGCAGTTGGTTGAATACATGGATGGTGGAACTCACAGATTTGGAAGGCTGACTGTACTTACGATTACTGGAGTGTCATGGAGCAAAGTTAATCATTGTTTTCAAAAAGAAAAAAAATCTAGAATTTACCTAAATTTAGATGGGATAGAAAGCATCTTTAAAAAAGTGTCACAGCCCTCCTTTGGGAGGCGCTCCTGAGACACAGGAACTACAGTAACATGTAGTTGGCAAAGAGGTAAGTGTACGCATTGGAGGCATACAGGGTTTTAAGTATTCAAACAGTTTTCTCTGGGCCAACAAAAGTCTAAATTATATACCCTAATATGTAAGCTTTTAAACTTTAAGTTGGCATACAAAAAGGTAGATTATATAACTCCCAGTCCCATTACTAAAATCAATATTTCCCTGATGAGGAAACTTCTCAATGAAATTTAAACAGAGAGTTAATATTTAACAATCTGGTCCCTAAAAGAATTTTTTTTTTTTTATTGGGAAGGCTTTGTTTAGTCAATACATTCACATGAATCATCTTTACATAAGCACTTTCAATAATTCTTGGCATGAGTTGTTTATCATTAATCCTTCAATATAACAAATTTATTTATTGAAACATTAGTAATATGGCAGACATTGTGATACACTGAGTCATGAAGTCTTACCATGTCAGCAGCTTTCTTAAAGTAGTGAAGAGCTGTCTCATTACTCTGAGGTACAATATCACTTCCCTCTGAATACATCTGGAAAACAGACCCCAATTTCATTAAGAGCTGTAACCCTCTCTCCAATTACATTTTTCTACTATCTCATCTCCTTTTGGTTTTTGTTAGATCTCATGAAATCTTTCCACAAAGTTTAGAATTCCCCACAGAATATTTTAGAATTAAAAGCAAACATTTTTAAATCATATATTTGATGTCATATCAAATTTATGACTTATCAGCAAACATGAATATATAAAATCAGCTCACAGATCAGTTTTAAGAGAAGAAATCCTTAACCCCAAGATAAATCTCTTTCCCCGCTCTATCTCCCAGGGCAGTCAAATGGTTATTTACTAAGTTGCTTAGGATCAGATCAGTGATCGAAGGAGGAAAAGCAGAGCTGTTAGCAGTGTCCACTTTGCTTTCTCCTCTCCCACTACTATCCCCAGGATAAGATAAAGAGTGGGTCTTATGTTTAGGAAAAGAACTAAAAGGTTATTTTAAAAGGGTTTAAACACGGAACAATTAGAGTTTCAGGTATGGAACATAACTGGTGAAAAGAAATGAAACAGAATGGCCAATAGTGTTTTTATCCTTGTATATATTAAGGAAACAACAAATAAAGGAAATTGTTTTTGGAGATAGGGACAGTTAGTGATTCAGAGCAAGAACCAAAAGAGCTGGAACAAAGAGTTTTTAAATGCTTAACAAATATAGATTGGGGGGGGGGGGCTACCAATTTCTATGCTATAATGGTTGGAATGTCTAAAAGTAAAGTTACCAGGCCTCAATGAATCAGTTGTGACCATAAGGCAAATACTGAGGAGATTTTCCTATTTGTAAAAACCTGTGAGAGATATTCCATCTCAATTTCCTTACCTTAGGATTTGGTTACAGATGAAAATACCATTGGTTTATACTGTATTCGTTTGCAAAATAATAAAAAAGGAAGTTTTGAGATTCTTCCACGACATATGGAATCATTAAGTCTCTAGACTTAAACGTTTCCTTGCTCAAGGTAAGAACTGCATTGAAAGGTGGGTCATGGCTATCACATTTAAGACAATTAGGTCTGTAGATAAATTTCAACAAACTCTAATCGCTTATATTCAACAAGGAAGGAAATAGGCAATTGTTACAGTCTTAGCAAAAAACTGAACAGAACAAACAATAATTTCCTCATTATTGCATATAATACACAAAAAGTAGGAGCTCAGACAATGATACCTAATTTCAATGGAGAATTAACATATCAATGAGCAAATGCTATGTTATTTTAAGTTTCTAAGAAAATGTCTCAGAATAGCACGTATCTTAAGGCAAAATAAAATATCCTTGCACTGGAAGTTTTATTTCCAATTTATTTTTGGTAAATTGTAGATCGTGAATACAATATGTACTTACTATGCAAACACCTCTTGCTTTATTACATAATACATTCACAGGATGTACAGTACCTTTCCCAAGAAGGCCATAGCATGTGAATTGCCAGCATTAGCTGCTAAATTAAAGTAGTCAAATGCTCTCTGTAAGAAAAGAATTTATTAAAATAATTAGTTTTTAATAGAATGTGCCCTTGGCTTTTAGCAAAAAGAATTATTTAAGAAACATTAAAAATAATCTTGTTATATTGCAGTGGCTTTAAAAATAAGAACACCCAGTTATCAACATTTCAGAATAGAAATCAGTTCATCCAGAAGTTTTATTTTATTAGACAGCTGCATCAAGGTACTATTTATCACTAAGCTGTTTTATAGTTTTAGACACAAAGAAATTCTTGTGTTCCCTAAACTTAAGAACCAAGAAGACTTCTGTTATTTATAGGCAAAGAGAGCATCAGGTTTAAAAGACATCTAATAGCAGCTTAATTTCTTTTGTCTACCTCTCTCCCAGTAATCTGGGAGAAAGGAAAAATTAAGAAAGCTTTACAAGGGGTCAATTTTGGTCTCCATTCTTACTTCACAGTCTCAAAGCAATCTTATCCACTGCCATGGCTTCACACAGCATCCAGATGATGGCAATTCCTAAATTTTTATTTTCATCTCTAAACCAGTCTATTCAACAACCTCTGAACACCTCATCCACTACTGCTTGAACATGTACTTGAAATCTGCTCTCTTTGACCAAAGCTTGCTTCTTTTCCAGTATCTCAGTTTAAGCAAATGGCCATACCATCTATTGGTTGCTCAAGGTACCCGCTCCCTTCATTCTCATATCTAATACATCACTAAATCCTGTTACTTTTTTTTTTTTTTTCCCCTTTTTTCGTGACTGGCAACGGGATCGCAACCCTCGGTGTTGCGCCTGCACTTCGCTCAGCCAGTGAGCGGCCGGTCTGTATGTGGGATCCGAACCCTCAGCGGGAGCGCCACCGCACTCCCAAGCGGCGCACTGTAGCAGTGCGCCACCGGGCCGGCCCATCCTGTTACTTTTTACTACCAAATACACCTTGAACCTATCACTATCTTCCATTACCACATCTGTAGTCCAAGCTATATTATCTCTCATCTGAACTTCTGGAATACTCTCCTGCCTTATCTCCCTGCTTTTATTTTTGTGGTCTTCTAAGTCAATCTCTATACTGCAGCCAAAGTCGTTGTTTTAAAATCTGAACATGTTGGTCACTGTAGCCCCTTAAAGTGTTTCAGGAATACAGTGATGTGACTACATAAGCACTGCTTATCTCAGCACTGTTTTACCTTGCTCTCTACACTATGGGCTTATCAGCCATGTTCCTTCTTGTCTCAGGGCCTAAGCACATACTGTACTTTTTGGCCTGGAATAACCTTACTTCCAGTGTCAACTTAAATGTCATCCACTTCTCCTTAGAAAAGTCTTCCCTGACAACTGGTACCTCCCACCCATTAACCACTATTGTATCCTTTAATTTTCCTTTGTAACAATGATCACAATTTATTATGCACTTGTTGGGGTGATCATTTAAAAAATATCTAATTCCCCTATTAAACTGAAGCTCTTTAAGGATAAACACCAAAGCTATTTTGTCCAGTACTGTATCCTGAATGCCTGGCAGTGAATGGCACATAGTAGGTACTGAAATATTTGCTGAATCAATGCAATTATGTATGGGAACTCCTTTTCTTTCTTCTACAAAGCTGGTGAAATAATTTATCAAGGTGTGGCTGCTTTAGGCAACTACACCGGTAAGCAGCATTTAACACCAAGAGTATTTCCAATCTTTTTATAAAAAAGGTAGGTAGCAAACTCTTATTCAGGATTCTATTCTCTCATCTGATGCTTCACTGGCCTAATGACATACATTTTAATTACCTAGGGACAATGAAAGCTGTCAAAAGCTGTCTAGATAACAACAATAAAAAAAACCCCTACAGATATCTGGCACAGTTTTGGTGGTGAGTGTACTTCGTTAGAATCTACTTCTTAAAGTTGATGGGATATGGTATAGGGAATAGCCTTAATTATGTCAGGAAAACAGTTTAATTAGTTTGATGTTTATGGAGAACTTACTATGTGCTAGGCACTGTCAGGGGCTGGGAATAAAGTTACAAACCAGGCAGACATGGTTCATGCTCTTTTGGACTTTAGGTTCTAGCAGGGGAAACTTAATTACATGATTACTTAATTTACAATGGACCAGGGCCACAAAGAATACAGATTTTCAGAAATCCTACTTCTGCTGTAGGAGCTATTCCTGCCAGGGGTCAGGGGAGATATATTACAGGTTGCAGTTGAGTTCTGGAGGATGAATAGGAATTAGCTACATGAAGAAAGTAGGTGGGTAATAGTCACTCTAGATTGAGGAACTAACACTGTGAAGCCCTGAGACAGGGAGGTTCTTGCTGTGTTCAAAGACCCAAGAAAAGGTTCGTGTTCCCATGACTCAGAGAACGGGGAGCTGGTGAGGTAAACAGAGAGTGGCACAAAGCCTTGGAGGTCATGTTAAATGTTATGATCTTTAATCTACTGGAGATTATCGACTATTCAGAAGTTTTAAGCAAGGGAACGCATGATCAGATGAGTGGTTTACAGAGATAGGCTGTTTCTTACGAAATGCAGGTGGCAGATGATTCACACAACTGATAGATGTAGTGATGAAAAGGCAAGACGAGTGACATTTAGGACAGAAAGCAGACAAGACTTGGTGACTGGATACGGATTGAACTGCAATAGCTGTATAATCCTAATTTCTCACAAACAACAAAAAATTCCTCAGTTCTATAAAATATTCTCTAACAGGTGTTTTAAGACACACTTTTCCTGAATGCTTACAGAAAACCAAGACTGTATATTTTTTGGGCAGTATTGAGAATTAGGTTTTAGAGTTAATAAAATCTTTACCATCACTCTGAGGTATATTCACATTTTCATTCTTCAGCTTCGTCAGGGGTTGGTTAGTTCTTGAAAGCTCATTTGTCCTGGGTGTTTCAATAATACAAGCTTGATACTGGCATTGACTCAGCAAGAAATACATCTGGAGCATCATTTCTTGCTACAATGAGAAGTGCAAAGCCCTAAGACAGGCTAGTTACCTGATGATTTTGTTCCACTCCACGCCCTCCATGCAGATGCAGCTGTCCCAGACCAACCTGAAAATTGACAAAAACAAGGTAAAAGTAAATGGCAGCATCTGGTACGTAATTAAAACCCGGCCAACAGGAAACCATTTAGATGGAAAAAGATTTCTGTTTATGACTCAAAAAACAAAAGATTTAGTCTTAACTCCTAAAGATATTAATCTACTTTAATCAATCTAAACATTTAAAAAACTAAAGATGCATGCTTTTAAATGCATAGAATCCTTCTGAAACGGAGGTGAAATAAAGACATTTTCAGACAAACTAAAACTGAATTTGTTCCCAGTGAACCTGCTCTAAAGGAAATACTAAAGGGTACTCTTCCAGCAGAAGGAAAATTATCTGAGAAACTTGGAGATGCAATAAGAAATAAACAACAAAAAGGTAAGAAATTTGTGAGTAAACCTAAATTAATATATATTGTATGAAACGTATTATCTTGTGAGGTTCAAAAATATGTAGACTTAAAGCATACAGAGTACTCTAAGGTCTCTGTGTTGTCCTGGAAATGGTAAACGTGCTCACTCATACTAGACTTTGATAAGTCAAGGACGCATGTTGTGAACTCTAGATAACCATGAAAAGAGTGGTAAATGTGTGTTATGCTAGCAGGGGAAGAGATGCACTAGCAAAAAAGCACTTGAACCAAAAGAGGGCAAGAAAGGAAAGAAAAGGGAACATGGAAAAGCAAGATAAACAGAAAGCAAGTAAAACAGAAAATTTAAAGCAAAATATATCATAATGTAAAAGAAAGATATTTAATCAGACACGACAGCTTTCTCATAATTTCCATAAGCTAAGATTTGAAGCTACCTTTCACTATAGTTTTTTTAAACTTAAGACTCCTCTGTTAGTCTTTTTTTTTTTTTTTGTCTTTTTTTTTCTGTGTCCGGCAACGGATTGCAACCCTCAGTGTTGCCCCCATACCGGACCGGGGACCGGCAACGGGATCGCAACCCTCGGCGTTGCTCCCGCGCCTCGCTCAGCCAGTGAGCGGGAACCGGTCTGTATGTGGGATCCGAACCCTCGGGCGGGAGCGCCGCCGCGCTTCCCAAGCGGCGCACTTATCCAGTGCACCACCGGGCCGGTCCTCCTCTGTTAGTCTTAAAACTAATTGTTTTTAATAAGTACCTGTTGCTCATCTCTTTGTACCCTAAATCAGAAATAACTGCAAATAGAAAAAAAGATAGACACTGAAGTTCTTTTTAATATCATCAAAACAAGCCACAACACACACACATACACACAAACACACACACAATACTCTGATGGAGATCATATAATTTATATTAAACAGCCTACTTGACCTTAAGGAAATTATGATCTAAGATGAGGAAAAACGACATGAACAGTAAATAGCTCTGAAGAGCATCTGATATTCTAAATGTTCCAGAGACTTGTTTAGAGAAAATGTTTCATCTTTGGTGACTCCAGGAAGAGCCTTCACTATCAGTGTTAATGCTGCTCCATTCGAGCAGTGATTTTTTTCTTTTTATTAGCATGTTAGTTATTATAAATCATGATTTTCCTTTATGCCCTTTACCTGACCTATCTCTCTCCAAGTCCCCTTCCTCCCACCTGTCCCATCTCTAGTAACCTTAGTTTTGTTCTCTCCTTCTGAAAGTTCAATGAATGCTTGTGGTCTTTTCTTTCTTTCTTAGCACCCAGTTAAATGTGAGAACATGCAGTATTTCCCTTTCCTTGTCTGGCTTATTCCACTTAACATAATTTTCTCAAGACTCATCCATATTGCTGCAAATGGCAGAATTTCATTCTTTTTTAATGGCTGAGTAGTATTTCATTGTGTGTGTGTGTGTGTGTGTATATATATACACATATATATACACACACACACACACACACACACACATATCACATTTTCCTTATTCAGTCATCTGTTGAAGGACACTTAAGGTTGGCTCCATATTTTGGCTATTGTTAATAGAGCTGCAGTGAACACGGGAGTGCAGGTATCCATTTGACATGATGATTTCCATTCTGTTGGATATACATCCAGTAGCAGGATTGCTGGGTCACATGGTAGTTCTATCTGTAGCTGTTTGAGGAACTTCCATACTGTTTTCCATAGTGGCTGTGGTATTTTACAGTCCTACCAACAGTATGGAAGGGTTACCCTTTCCCCACATCCTAGCCAGCATTTGTTATTCACGGTCTTTTAAATAATGGCCAGTCTAACTGGGGTGAGATGATATCTTAAGGTGGTTTTGATTTGCATTTCTCTGATAACTAGTGATGCTGAAAATTTTTCCATGTACCTGTTGGCCAGCTGTAAGTCTTCCTCTGAAAAATGTCTATTCATCTCCTTTGCCCATTTTTTGATTGGATTATTTGTTGTTTTTTGTTTTTAACCAAGCAGTGATTTTCAACTGTGGTACATAGGGGAGTCCCCCTGGCCAGCTTTTAGAAACTATCAGTGCCTAGGCTCCATCCCAGAAGAACCCAAATGGAACCTCGGGAGAGTGTGGGACTCTTGGTAATTTTTTAAATGCTCCTCAGGTGATTCTAATACATAGCTAATAACTTCACAGCAACTAAAATGGTACTTACAGACGTAAGTGCCTGCCCACTTCCCACTACATTAAAATATACAACACAGTAAAATATTCCCTGAGATGTTTAAACACATACCTGTGCTTGTACATCACCCTTTTCAGCTAGAAACTGGTAATACTGAATCAAATCTTCTTCTAGCATTCCACTGTTCATTCCTGGATTTTCCACTTCATCAGGCAGCCGTATTCTCTGTACTACTGAGCCTCCTGTTAGTGATATATCACTAGCAACTGAAACAAGAGGACAAAGTAACAATATGGAGGCAAGTCAGAAGGATTGTCCCACAGAAAGAACAATTTCAGCTGCCAAATGTTGACAGTCACAATATTAAAGGAAACTTTCTATAGGAGTCTACAGATTATAGTAATAGTAATTCTACAGAAATAGTAATCTATTAATAAATTGAAGTTTTTCCACAGAATATTTAATAAGTGAAACCCAAAGCAAAATTAAAGAAAGTACTTATTAATCAACTAGTTTAAAAATGAGTCTACTTAAGAGAGCCATTCATGATGTTTTAAATAGTGTAACAAAAACAGATGTATTTAAAATTAATTCTGTATTTTTTTTTTTTCCTGAAAGGTGAAAGGGAAAAGAAATAGATACCATGATTGGCAACAAGACGATAATGAGTCAGTGCAGATTCACAACTCTGGAGGACCCCGATGCCAGCCCAGTATCGGTAACCCTGTAAAACAACTTAAAGTGAGAAGACGGTTGCTTCACATGCTTCAATGGTATTCTTCTTGGAATAAATAGAGCTAACAATACCCAGGATGTAATTTTGCTGTCTTTTGATCCAAGTACACTAACACATCATTTATCCTCAGTTTTAAGTTCTGAGGTAATCTATTCAGCAACTTCAACAAGCAGATTATAGCTAAGAACTAGGAAATGAATAATAAAGTTCCTAGAGCAATCAAAATAGATACCATAAACTTTATGTACGAAGAGTGTGTATTTTACTCATAAGAGAAAATCACTTAAGGCTCTTGCTTAGAACCAATTTTAATCTTACTTTAGACAAAATGTTATCAAAAATGAGTTAATCTTCCAAACTGGAAAAGAATTAGTAACAAATCAGCAAAAAAAGAAAGACGAGAGACTTACTGAAAGCAGACACAGTCATAATAGCAATACATTACTTCAGAATAAGTGGGATGATAGCTAATAATAAAGAGTAGACAACCAAAAATAGAGCTCTCTGGAGTCATTCTACACAAATAAATTTATAAACTTTAACAATCCTCAGAGCATTACTATATAATAATGTGTATAATACTTAACGTTCTTATTCTGTAGCCACTGTTTAAGAGGACTGGTAAGTATAACTAAAAAAAGATTTCTGTCAAAAATATTTAACGAACTTTTGCCATACAGAAGTATAAGTTTCATTTTTCTTAAAAATTCACCTGAAAGGGACTTTTCAATTACTGTTTGAGAAATAAATGTTACTGTAGATTAAACAAATGGTAACATTTCAGAATTAGTGACGGGTGTTTCAGAAAGTTAGAGCAGTGCTCTAAGTTTTCATTTGCTTAAACTCCCTCAGCAGTTTACCCTGTAAAAGGACAAAGTCCAAGCTTCTTGGCAGGACTTACAGCCCCGTTATAGGATCCTATCTACCTACCTAGCTCATGCACTACCTGGCATTCTACTCTTCAGCCACACTAAAGTGCATGTATTTTCTTGCAAACACCACATTTCTTCTTGTTGCTGTCCCTTTGCATCTACTGCTGCTGCTGCCTGGGCACGCTGCTTCTTCCATTCATTCAGTACTATCTAACCTCCCCAAAAGCACTTCAGTTGCTTCTTTCCTCCGAAGTATCTCCTTAATCCCCGTCCCTTCCAATCTGTGTTTCTTAACATTCTCATACTGTACTGTAACAGTCTCCTTACCTGCGTCTCCCTTTCCAGATTAAAAGCTTGCTGGGGGGGGGGGGGGGGGG